CAAGTCAAGACAGGAAAGTCCTCAGTAAAGTCCCAAGTCAAGACAGGAAAGTCCTCAGTCAAGTCACAAGGCAAGGCAGACAGGTCCCTTTTTAAGTCCTATGTGAAGACAGTAAAGTTCCTGGTCAAGACAGGCAAGTCCTGAGTCAAGTCTAGAGTCAAGACAGGCTATTTTAAAGTCAAGTCCAAGTCAACACAGGTAAGTCCAGAGTCAAGTTCTATGTCAGGACAGGCAAGCCCTGAGTCAGGTCCCAAGTCAAGACAGGCAAGTCCTGAGTCAAATCCCAAGACAGGACATGCAAGTCCAGAGTCAAGTCCTCAGTCAGTACAGGCATGTCCAGAGTCAAGTCTTCAGTCAGGACAGTGAAGTCCAGAGTCAAGTCACACGTCAGGACAGTGAAGTCCAGAGTCAAGTCCTCAGTCAGTACAGGCATTTCCAGAGTCAAGTCCTAAGTCAGGACAGTGAAGTCCAGAGTCAAGTCACACGTCAGGACAGTGAAGTCCAGAGTCAAGTCACACGTCAGGACAGTGAAGTCCAGAGTCAAGTCCCAAGACAGGACAGGCAGGTCCCGAGTGACTAATATTCCTGCTACATTAACGGGTCCTTTTTCCGCTGCAGGTGTTAAGGTAGTGCTGATTATTTCCTGTTGTGTAGTTGAATCTACAGAGACGAATCATATTCTAAAATTTAGTTTGTGTGTGCGCAGGTGATCGAAAGTCGCCAGGGTGGCGCATCACACCTGCTGCCTGAAGACGTTTTTTGTGACAAGCCCAGGTACAGATACCGTGTTTATGTAACATGAGAAGTCTTGTATTTAAAATAGTCTTTGTGTCTGCCACCAGAATGTATTAAGTGTGTGTGTGTGTGTGTGTGTGTGTGTGTGTGTGTGTGTGTGTGTGTGTCAGACTGCCAGAAGGTGAGCTGAAGGTAGACGAAACCTTTCTGTTCATCCAGTCGAAGATCTGTGAAGCTCTGACAGGAAGCAGCTACAGCACATACATCGAACGCCTCAACACACCCTACACACCTCAGATAACAGGTACACACACATTTTGTACACATACAGACTGTTTCACAGCATCTTTTGGTAGCTAGGTAACGACAATGTTGTTTCACTGAGACTTCAAGTCCAGCCACTACTGCAGGGAGCGGCACACAAAACACTGAACTTTAGTCCTCCTGAACTGAAGAAGTTCCCAAGTTAAGACCAGATTCAGGTCCCAAGTTGTGAAGGGCAAAGCCCGTGTCAAGTCCTGAGTCAAGACAGGCAAGTCTCGAGTCTGTTTTGTAGTCAAGATAGGCAGGTTCTTTTTCAAGTACCAAGTCAAGAAAGGCAGGTTCAGAGTAAAGTCCCATTTCAAGTCCCTTGTCAAGAAGTCCTGAGTTAAGTCCACAGTCAAGACAGGCAGGTCCTAAGTCAATGCCCAAGTCAAGACAGGCAAGTTCTTAGTCAAGTCCTATGTCAAGACAGACAAGTCCCAAGTCAAGTGACAAGTTGAGACAGGCAAGTTCCAAGTCAAGTCCCATGTCGACAGGTAAGTCTTGAGTCAAGTCTGGAATCAAGGTAGGCAAGTCAGAGTCAGGTCTCAAGTCAAGACAGGCAAGTCAGAGTCAGGTCTCAAGTCAAGACAGACAAGTCCAGAGTCAGGTCTCAAGTCAAGACAGGCAAGTCCAGAGTCAAATCACACATCAGGACAGTGAAGTCAGAGTCAGGTCTCAAGTCAAGACAGGCAAGTCCATAGTCTATTTAATGGTCAAGACAGGCAAGTATATTGTAAAGTACAAAGTCAAGAAAGGTAGGTCCCTAGTCAAGTCACTTGTGGAGTCCCATTTCAAGATTGTCAAGTCCCTTGTCAAGAAGTCCTGAGTTATGTCCACAGTCAAGACAGGCAGGTCCTAAGTCAACTCCTAAGTCAAGACAGGCAAGTCCCACGTCAAGTCTGATGTCAAGACAATTGAATTTTGAGTCAATTCACAAGTTGAGATGGCAAGTGTCAAATCCCAAGTCATGTCCTGAGTTAAGTCCCACGTCAGGACAGTGTTACGGTGATTCGGTCTGTAGATGATAACAGTGTTAGACTTTATTTATAAAACTGTTTTCTTCACGATGTCACATCGTCTTTTTCTGGAAAAAAACAAAGCAAAAACAATAAGACCAACAATAAAATGAAATGTAAACAGAGGGATCATGAACACATACAATGACTGACCTAGTGTGTGCGTTTCAGATGAGGACCGTCTGTCCAAGAGGAAGAGTATTGGGGACGTCATCTCTCTGCAGATAGACATGGACCCTCAGTACTGTCCTGATACAGAGCAGGTACCTGTCCGTCTGTCCGTCCATCTGTCCTTCAGTTTGTTTGTCTGTCTGCTGATATCTCTCTCTTGTGTAGAAACCTCAGGTGGAGCAGATCACCTTCGAGACGCTGAAGAACGCCATTGGTAACTGAATCATATATCTAAACATATGTCCCTCTGCGTCCTTCACACTGGACCTTTAACTCCAGTAACTGTAGCTAATGTGCAGAGACGTGGTGAAATTAAACACAGCTTCATTTAAAGATAATGTTTTATTCTGTAATTGTTCTCCAGAGGACAGAGGGAGTGTGGAGGAGGAGGAGAGGCGGAGGAGGATGCAGGTGGTGGAGAGGTTTCAGACGGCTCCGTTTGAGGAAATTGCAGCTCATTGTGGAGCCAGGGTGAGTGACCTCTGACCTCTGAGACTAGGTTATTCAAAGGTCAACTCAAGAGCTGGGTGATCTGGATGGTTGGTACTCTGCCGGTCAGTCAGCTGATACCTGAAACCAGGTGGGTAGATGAGTCAGTCTGTCTGCACCTGATCAGGATCATGAGGTTTTACCAGCAGTGACATTGTGACCTCTCTGTCTGACTCAATTACTTACTTACTTTGGCTCAAACGTCAGGTTGGACTCAAGAATGAATTGATTATATTTTGTTTGTCAAGTGTCGAGGTAACTTTGACCTAATTTTTATTCTTGTGAATGGGATATCTTAACACCTTGAGGTAATTCCTTTAAATATGGCACAAATGTCGTCTTGGACTCAAGGATGAATTGATTAGATTTTGGTTCTCAAAGGTCACTGTGATCTTATTCCTATTTTTGTGAACGCGATATCTCAAGATCACCTGAAAGGAATTTTTTCAAATTTGGCACAAATGTCCACTTGGACTCAACAATGAACTGATTATATTTTGGTGGTTAAAGGTCACTGTGGCCTTGCATCTATCTTGCTCTTGTGATTGTGATATCCCAATAACTGCCTTGAAGGAATTTATTCAAATTTGGCACAAACGTCCACTTGGACTCAGCGATGCACTGGTTAGATTTTTGGATTAGAGCTGCAGTGGAAACTGACCTCAGTTAGGGACTAAAGTCTGGATTGATTTTTGAATGTCATAAAGCTGTCTTGTCACACTTTGGCACACGGTACTTTCTGTCCTTGCAGACGTTGCTTCAGGCTAAACTGGACCAGGTCTTCGACTTGATCATCCGTCCTCCTCCGTCTCCGTCTGGACACTCACCGCCTCGCTCAACCCCTCTCTACGAGATGAAGTTTCCTGACCTCTGTGTCTATTAGACCTTCTTTCCTTTCCTTGTGTGACGTGTCCTTGTAGGTGGCAGAGGAAGGAGGCAGGAAAGGAGATGAGTCAGATTTAACTAAGGGACTGATTGACCAACCTGTTGTTGACCTTCTCTGGTGTTTCCTGTTTTAAAGTCTGTTGCTCCTTCAGTTTGAGCTCTGCACCAAAAAATCTGCACCAATAAAACATCAAATGTTTGTTTCTTTTCATCCATGAGCTGTGACGTTAATGTTCTGACAGCGCAGTTCCACCAGTGCAGTCTCATAAACACAATATCTAAGGAGCGCCTTGAAGGAATTTCCTCAATTTAGCACAAACGTCCACTTGGATTCAACAATGAACTGAAAAGGTTTTGGTGGTCAAAGGTCAAGGTCACTGTGACCTTGCGTCCATCTCATTTTTGTGAATGCAATATCTCAAAAACACTTTGAGGGAATTTTCTCAAATTTGGCACAAACATCCACTTAGAGTCAACAATGAACTAATTAGAATTTTGTGGTCAAAGGTCAATGTCACTGCGACCTAATTCTTATTCTTCTGAATGCGATATCTCACGAATGCCTTGCAGGATTTTTTTTTTTTTTTCAAATTTGGCACAAACAACCACTTGGATTCAACGATAAACTCATAAGGTTTTGGTGGTCGAAGGTCAGTGTCACTGTGACCTCACGTCCATCTCATTGTTGTGAATGCAATATCTTAAGAACACCTTGAGGGAATTTCTTTAAATTTGGCACAAACATTCACATGTTGGGTAACCATAGAAAAGAAAGCAACAGATTCTTCTTTTGCTCGTAAACTATTTTTTGTTTTTATTTACAGTTATTTACAGAAATCAATAAATATCTAAACATTTTTGTTGCTCTGTCGTTACCGCTGTCAGTTGCTCAGCGTCAGAGCTTTTCATTGGTCCATTATTTGTCTTCTAAAGAGCCTCCCTGACCAATGAGAACTCTTAGCCGCCTGTCAGTCATCTGTGTCCTCTTCTGTCACTTCCTGTCACTTCTGCTGCTGTCCGTCTTTGTTGATGACGGTTTTGAATAGCGTGAGCAGCGGCCTCTGACTGCTCTCGTCCCAGCTCTTCATGAAGCCGCCGTAGCGTTTCCTGGCCGGTGGGCCGCTCCAGCCGAAATGCTTCATCCTGTATGAACTGTCCTTCTCCTGGTCGCTGCCAAGGAGCTGCTGCTCCTTCTCCATCACCTCCTGCACCTCCTCCTCCTCTACTTCTGCCAACAGCGCACTGGCCAGCTCCCTCCTCCTCATCTCCCCGGGAAACACCTCTGTGGACTCCTCCTCCACGCCATTGGAGGTGTAGACTTTGACCGGGCGGCGTTTCCGACCGACGGGCTTCCCCCAGCGGAAGTGCTCCATGGAGTAGGAGCGTTTGGCCTGAGAGGAGGAGGAGGAGGGTTCTGAGGGAGGAGGAGGGTGGAGGTGGGCATTGCCGGGGATGACAGGGGTCTCGGCGGTGAGGTCGGAGCAACACAGCTGGATGCACTCCTGTTTTTTTTGTATGTGTGAAGTAGAATAAAAATGTATTAACAACCATGGAAAAGATAGTTAAAGAATAAAAAAAATAATGAAGAAAAACTAACTTTAAAAAAAAAAAAAGTATTCATAAAAAGTAACAAAAAACAGCAATAACCATTATTAGAATTGGAAAAAAAAGTACAAACAAGATTTTTAAAAAAGGGAAAAAAGTAATAGTTATTAAATATTAAAAAAAGTTAAAAACTGCTTTAAAAAAGGCAAAATAGTAATTATATTTTTTTAAAAGTGAAAAAGTATTCAAAGAAATTACAAAAACTATTATTTATAAAATAATTATGAAAAAATAAAAGTAAATTAATCAGATAGTCGCCATTTTAATGAAGGAAAATAAAACAAACAAGTAAAAAAAAAAGAAGAAATGAAAGACCAACAAAGACAAATTATTGTTTTTGGGAGAGAATATAGTGGTAAAGATATTCTCGTGTGTTAAGCGTGTCTAATAAACAGTTATAATAACAGTTATAAATGTAAATGATTATGTTACCATCACACTGCTCTCAGAGTTCAGCTCCTGGCACCTCGGATGGTCCCAGCACTGACTGACAGCTCCTCTGGCCACGCCCACAACAACAATGGTCACCAATAACCACGCAAGACACATTTTCCTGCCCCTGGCCAATTAGAGACACACAGACATATCGCACATGAAGACTGGTCAAATTTTGAGGTTTTCATTTCATACTTTAATAATTTTCATCATACATTTATAATGAAAAAATAAAAACCAATATATCTAAATATATTTAAAATACACACATCAAAATAATGTCATATAT